ATACATAAATAGACAAAACTATTGAAAAAATACAGAGCGCTATTTTCACAAAAACAATTATTATCAGTAAATGTAGAGTTCTTTTTTATTAAACATTCTACATTGCTTCCGTTTCGAAAATCACGCATCACATTTTTGTAACGTATAAAGACAAAATGTCGTTAGTACAAAATTAAATTTATAAATGCAAAATTTATATTTTTATCTTTTGTTCTTTCAATTTTTATAAACATCAGACAGTCATGAGTCAACAAGCACAACAGCAACCCAATGAAGCAGTTAAAAATTCATTTATAATCTTAAGTAGTCATTTATAATTATTTACAGAAGTTGCATAACGTATATAAATAAATATTTTTATTGAGTATTAATTTTAAGACACTGATACCGAAAGGTAGGTTCAAATCTTACACAACTATCAGAGTATATAGTTTACACTGTGTGTGTATTATTGGCATATAAGTTACAATATTTATAAAAGATATACATGCATAATTAGCATGTATAAATGAACATATGTCAAATTTACACATAAAATATGGGAAATTAAAAATTTGCTAAAATTTATTAACTGCTAAATCATGAAAAAACGTTCATCACGCATATACAAACTTGTCTATTTTACAATAATACAATTACAAAGGTGTATCTACATACGAGCCTAAATTTATTTATCTAAATATATTTCGCAGTAGTCGAAGTGCTCGCAATAAATAACAATTTTTCATTTTATAAATTACAGCTAATCCTCGTCTGTACCTTTCTGATACACTGCCCCGAACTTGCTCATGTACTTACGTACAAAATCTCTTGCTTTATGTTTAACATTTTCATTACATTGTAATTCGTCCACGCTTTTACAATGTTTTAATTCTTTTGCAAGTACAAAATGTGTTAACTGTAATAAAATGTGTAATTATAAAGATCACTTTTGTATGATAAATCTGTCATGCTTAAATATTCAACATACCTTTCTAGCTAGATGCTTGAAATCTTCAGTATTAGTTATTCTACCTTGTTTGCAATCATTTTTCCTATATGGATTTAAGAAGTGAACCATCACATTAGCCATGTTTATTCTAAATGTATCTTTAATTTTCCTTTCTGACATAGGAGACACCTCAGCTGATGTTGATTGTAACTTGTTCATTCCATGTCGCGAGTAAGACTTCGATTTATTACTTCGTCTATGTTTTCTTAATTTCTCAACATGATCTTTTAATTTTGTCCTTTCTTTCTGTCGTCGTAATTTATCTTTCATTTCCTTATATATCTTATGATCAAGACGATCATCTTCCCTACGTGGCTACAAATAAATACAAATAGATTTATTAAAAAATCGACAAAGTTATAATAGTTTTAAAGTTATATTAATTGATAAAGGAGGGTACAATATTTTTCACATTGAAATAAAGTTAATAAATATTCCGTTAATAATATAAATAAGGATTTTATTTTTTATTTCAATGTACCAATTTTTCTTTGAATGTAGTATTCATTATTATAACTTTCGGTTGCCATGAAGAAAAATACAGAAAATATAGAAATAAAACCCCCGAACGATCGCGAAAAAAATAAAATTATATTCTCCTTTAATATTGTAATATAAACAATGGAACAAGTTTTTTTTTTAAGATTGAATGTTTTATAAAAATTTTAAAGAGTACATTTTAAAATCCTTAATATGCATACGCGTAACTGAGTCATTCGTGTCCTGCGTATTTCTATTCTTTTAAATATTAAAAGCACTTGACTAAATAATATTCGTTTTTCTTTTTCTAAAAAAAAAGGCTGATGTCTAAGGAACAAATTTTGTGTGACTAGATGCGTCGTCAATTTCCTTTCGTGCGTATCCTTCGACAAACGCCTCGGAATTCAACTTGGACCACAAATAATCCAATTATGTATAGAGTACTTTTTCTGTAGTATTTGAGAAATATTTATTTCTTTATGTTTAATTAATTCCTATTTAAATTGTAAGGATTTAATTATTAAAAAATTAAAATTTAAATAATTTTGTGTTATCGAATTATCACTACTATATTTGTATTGAATGTTATAAATAATATTAAAAAAATGTTTCTTCTAATTAATTATAAAGCCTAATCTACAATGTGTAGATTATCTTTACTTCCTATCTCGAAGTTTATCTCATGTCTTTTCCTTTTTTTTAATTGCTTTACCGCGTATCTTTTCGCGTGTTTCTTTCGTTGAAGTCAACTTTTATCTCGGACGACAGAAAAACTGGATAAGAGGCAAAAAGACAAGAAACAAAAGCAAAAAGCACATTGTGTATTAGACTTAAATTTTTTGTAAGGCAATATTAATGATAAAATGTATCGTTTAAAATATAGTATGTACTAAAAATGTAATATATATTCAAAATATAATTCAATTTATACCCATTCATATATGTTAAAAAAAATGTCATTTTCAGATTAAGAAATAATCTAACTTTTTGAACAGTCGACAACCTTAATTTTTTTCTCTTTTATAATTTGAAATGTTAAGATATATAATATATTTTTCTTTAAATCACTTAATATTTTACAATTTTGAATTTTTAACAAAACACATTTCTCTCATTTTGTAAATTGCAATTAGTTATAACATTTATATATAATTCTTTTACATAATTTTGTTAATATATAACTTTATAAATACTTTCTAAGACATCGATTTATGTGTAAGAATCATTTAATAATTTCTACATACTTGTAAAGGTAATGAAAATTAATCCAAAACACTCATATAATATAAATATAATAACGGATCGGAAAATCATTGTGTGTATTAAGGAATGTTAATATAAATATAAGAACTAAAGATAAATACAAAAAAAAAATAAAAAAAAAATTAAATTATACTTACACTAATAATTCTTTCTTGGACCAATCCATCTCTTCTCTTCTTAGATTCGGGAAACGGCAGTGCACTTCCAGTCAGATTATGACCACTTAATTTTTTAGATACATTTGGCCTGGATGTGTTCAAAGGACTGTCTGTTAGAACGCTACTTGCCTCCATATCATCATTTCTTTGATCTTCATTATGATCATCATCAATATCTTCATCATCTTCATTTGATGAACTAGATTCATCACTAGATTCCGAGGTAGATGACGAATCTGGCTGTACTCCAATGTGATCGGGTGGTGGAGGTAACCATTGCGATATTCTTTCCTTCACGTGATAATAGTATGTTCTACCTCTGCTATCCGTTGCACTCTTCCATTTCGGTGGCAAATCTATTGCCGGAACTTC